GCCATGGCTGCTTGACATCATTTCTGAATCCACTCTCTCCCACCACTAACTCTAAGTGGCAAATACTGTCACCAAAAACTTGTCTAAGCTCATTCAAGAAAAGGGCAAGGGCTGAAAACGTAGGTATTTCAAAAGACAGATCTCTGAGAAGCCTCCATTCAGCCTAAGTTCAAGTGTAACAGGCTCCCTTTATGGAACACTTCAGTCTTACCACTCAAGCTCCAGTTGCCCTCTAAGTCTTTCTTTGGCAGCCAAAGCATAAATGAATAGAAGGCTGTACTTACAGGTCTGCTGCTGCTGCTGCTGCTGCTGCTGGGTACCGAAGCCTCCAAAGCCTAACCCAGTTCCCAACCCAGTACCCAAGCCAGTACCAGTTCCTGTCCCAAAACTAGTACCAAATCCAAAGCCTTTGTTCTGGGAAGCACCAAACAGTCCTGGGAAAATAAGCAAAGAATTATTGAGAACAGGATAAAAATCCACATGAGCTGCAAAACATTAATTATTACGAAGGGCTAATGCTACACTTCATTCTAAAGTGAATACTTTCAGATTTGTGCTCTTACCGCTGGTGCCTGTGTTGGTGGGAGCAGAAAAACTAAATGCTGGCGCTGCAGTGGTAGTGGTTGTCCCAAATCCTCCAAATGCACCTAATGAACAAAGTTTGCAGGTAAGGCAGGCTGTGTGCTGTGAGTGGCAGCTGTGCACAAGATGACAACTGCATATTTCAATGGGTGTTATGAGATGCAGACAGATGCTTTATGTGTTATTTTACAAGCATGTGGTTTTTTGGACACTGACCATGGGGACCAAGTTCATTATCCAAGGGAATGGGAAATAACACAAACCAGAAAGCCAATACATCCACGGTATGTCAAGAATGCAAACAGAAAAGCAGCAGTAACAAATGCCCTGTGACTTGTGGCAGACGCAACTTGCAATAATTTTTCTCAGAGTGGTTGGAATTCCTAAAAATTCATATTGTGGCTAAACATTTAATAAGCAATCATGTTTCATGAGCTTTTTTGACATTTATAAAATCCTAGGAGCAAAAAGAAAAGCAGCTGAAATCTGAGACCAGGGTGCACACAATCACTGCACCCACACAAAAATGCTGCCACAGCAATGATTTCTTTCTCACACAAGTAAAATTATGAAATGTCTTTTTTCCCCAAGGCTGCTTTTCCCATCATCTGGAAGTTTCCCGATCAACCCTCACTTTGAGGTTCAACTGTCATCCAGAGAAGAACACACTAAACTTGTTGGCTTCCCACAGGTTTTCAAGAAAACCAGCTGCTGGCTAGCAGGAGGAAACCCAAGCACAGGCCCAAGCCCCACCATGCCTCCCAAAATCTTTGCATTTGTCCTTCTGATCACGCCATCTCTTTGCACTCTCTTTGCTGCAGTGGTGCTAACACACCATCTGACCCAATGTGCAGCATGTGAACATCTGAACAGCCCCACGTTTCAAATCCTCTGTGTTTCTGACAGATTTTACATATGTTCAAATGGAGATAGACAGTTCAGTACATACAGTGCATCAAAACAAAGCAACGCTGCCAGTGCTTATTCACATGTCCATAGCAAAAAAAAAAAATCAGTTTAGACCTACTGCACTTACCGTCTTGTATATACATACAAAATAATGAGCTCAAATCAAAGCTGACACGCAGCCACATTTTCTTTTAATTTAGCAAACAACACAACTAATTACAAGAGCTGCTCCCTGAAACTTTCAGGTTTCAATCCTATCAGCAAGTGAGCAACCCTAGCAGGAATACCATCAGATGACACAATTTTTAGATAGATTCCTATTCACAGCAATTCAGCATCCTTTCTTAGAGAAGGACCTAGAAGTGCAAACTACTAAACTAAATAATGTATCCAAATTCTCTTGGATTAGCTTCAATTCAGCTCAAGAAATAGTCCAGTAGCACTCATACCAAATTAAAAACCAAACCAGATCCCCTGAACTCACAAAACAGGTAGGAGTATCCTAACACAGGGAGTGACGATGCTGTGGAATGAATAAAACTCCTATACGAGCAGCGGCAACGAGAACCAAGGGATAATTCTATATGGGAAAAAGCATGAAAAATCCATGCAGTTGAATGCGTTGGTTTTTTTTTTTTTTACAGAATGGAAAAGACATAACTTGAAATTTATCAGCTGGTCACTCGGAATTGATAAGCCTACATGGGGACACAAAGGGTTTTCTCAACAAGCAGTCAGTGCGCACCATGCTGGACAAAACCCTCCCAGAGAATCACTTTGCAGGGACGTGCACCACGTCAAGAGGCAGAACAGTTTTAGGAATGGACATAACAGTGAGGGCCGTTCATTTTTATGCTGATCGTATAAAATTTGTTTCTCCACAGAAACAACTGAAGTGCAGCACATTCACGGTAACCAACAGAAGGCCGATGAGGAGACATGGAGAGAATGAAAACCATGACTGCAGCAGTCCAAGAATCTTACGTGAGGAAACAAGGCGTTAGGGATCAGCCCTGCAATAGTTCTGATGGCCCAGACTTAAAGGCAGAACCAATGTTTCAGTTCTGCTGTGTGAGCGAAACTCAATTTTGGACTGGGTAAGGTTAGCAGGGTACCACGATTCATCTCCAGTTCAGTGTCTAATCAGGCATGCAGCCATTATTCCTTAACAATTTAGTAGGAAAAAAATCCCTTACAATTATATGGCTCTACAACTTATTTCACTTCCAGAGCTTTTAAACCTCCAGTCTTCACAGGATATGAAGAAAGTTCAGCACAGATTCTGAGTCACAAACGCAATTCTTGGACCTCTGCTATTAACATTTATTACAGAACAAGTATTTGTGCAATATCTACCTGCACTTGCCAGACTGTTACCAAAATTGAATGGTGGAGTTGAGGTAGTAGAAACACCGAAATTCCCAATATTAAAATTCACTGCGGGATTAGCAGCTAATCCGAAACCCCCAAAATTAAACCCACCGGCGGTGGAGTTTGTGGTTTCAAGCCCACCAAATCCTGACAAGCATGAAGCAGAAAGAGAGCAAGGCAGCGTTAGTTCTGGGAGAAAGGCAGGTTCAGAAGTAACAGCTGACATACTGTTTTGGCACCAGAGACGAGGCAGGCTGGTTAATAACGAGAGTAAGGTATTAACTGGCACCAAGCGCGAATTACTAAGCACCTAAAAGCAAGGTTTAAGCCCGTTCTCCCCAAGTTACTAGTGGGATGGCGTTCCGAGCCGCAGGGCACGGGAAGCCCAGGGACGCCCAGCAGCACGCCGACGGGACCCGCTCCAGCCGCACTCACAGCCGCGGCTCCGGCGGCCCTTCACGGCTTCTCCTCCACCGCCTCTCCCTCAGCGGCCGCCGCGCCCCTCCGTTCCCACCCGGAGGCCCCGCACTCACCGCTGGGGTTGGAGGCCCCGGCGCCCGCCGCCGCCCCGAAGTTGAAGGCCATGAGGGGGCCGCAGCGGCGGGAGGCGTGCCCGCAGCCCTTACCGCCGCGAACAAACCGGCGGCTCTTCCGGTCCCAGCCCCACAGCCCTTCCGGCTGTTGCGGGACGCCGGGCCCCGTCCGCGCCGTCATGCGCCGCCAGGCGGCCCGGAGGTACTACTGCGGGCCGGGGGGCGGAGGGAGGCTGCCGTCGCGGCCCCTCTTGCTGGAGGCGTTTCGCTAGCTGAAGCGCTAACGTTGGCTTAGAACTTTCTCGAAGCTCGGAGATGACTTCGCTGGCAGCGAGCACGCTTCCTAATGCGGATCGTACTAACGGCAAGCATTGTCAGCCGTCCCAGTTGGAACCAAACTTGAACAAGGCACCAGCGAGGCAAAAAAAAGCCAACAGAGCAAACCAATGGAGAAAACCAAACAAAATAAATCCCACAATACTTCTAAATACTTTAAAACTTCTATTTAGAAGAAAATGATAAATTTTAAAACGTGTTTCATTATCTAGATCTAATTGAAATGCACCTCAATTAGAATACTCCATCAGGAGAAAAAAAATCCCACTTTTGTGACTTTTTAAAAGCAAGCTTCCACTTGGCAAGTAAAAAACACGTAGAGCTTTTCCAGGCCCCACACGTAGCTCAGTCTGGAGGTTTTTAACTCCAACAACAGATGTCACTGACAAACCGACACGCACAGAAAGCACAGTGCTGGTAGCTGTGATACCACCCGTGAGAAAAAGCACACCACTGACGTACCTTCCACCATCACAGTGCATGTTTGGTTTGTTTTCTCTTTTAAGTTGAAGGGAAAAGAACCCCCCAAACTTCAAGGACACCCCCTAAAGGCAATGGGATCAGAGCAGAGTTAGAACAGTCACAAGATCAGAATGGAAAAGCACTTCCAATCGTTGGCTTCTTTCTACCCGCTAACGAGAGATACTTAATGAATTTCACTCAGTGGTTTGGATGAGTTGTACAGATCCGTTTGTGAAAGGACCCATGACTTTAATAACAAACAGTCAGTGCAAACCCGTAGTAAGCAGCGCGCGGTACTTTACAGAAAAGACAACAGTGAGGCTACAGGAAACCGACAGGTGTGTGAGTGACACAGGAACCTGCTGCATCTCTACAAGGGTTCTCTGCAGCCCACGCTCCTAAGGCCATTTGCAAGTGTTACCCGTCGTTTCTATAACGAATCAGGCCATTTTATTTTCACCGATAAAGTGGTTATGATCGTCTCTGAGTGTCAGTGTAGGTACAAGAGAGCGCAGGGCTGAAAAAAGCAGGATCTCGAGCAGTTTTAAAATGTAGTTTTGTAGTTGTAACTTAGCTGCTAAGAAAAGTCTCCTCCCCTGATGACAGTGCGGATTCTCTTCCATCTTTGAACATTACACTTGACACGACTGTTTTTCCACAGTGGACAACACTGGGTAGTGGTAGCTGGTATTAGGTAAGCTCTAATGATTTATTCTCCAAGCTCACGTATTTAAGAAGATCTACTACTATGTCCTGATGAGCGGGGACCTCTCTTCTTCAGTGCTCTGAAAGAAAAAAGTTGCAACAAAGGAAAATTAAATGTGGCACATTAGAGCGCTTCTGTGGTGGGGAAGCTAAATTTCTTAAACTCCAAAGAGGAAAGGAAAAAGCTCTTGGCTCCTACTTCCAAGTGCAGATTTACTAAAGGAACCCTCACTGCACAGGTGAGGTGCTGGAGGGTGGATGGCAGCTTTGGCAGGTACCGGCACTGGGATGATGCAAAGAGATTTCCCTGTGCCTGTGCAGAGGCAGAAGGGGATCAGGGTGAGTGGAGGAAAAGGGTCAGGATGCACTCCACTCAGCAACTTCTACCCGAGTTTGCCTGTGGCACAGCAGGCTCAAAAGCCCAAAGGAAAAAGGACCAGGCTCTCATGAAAAGGAACCTGAACTATGGTCCTGAGAGCCCCTGGTGGTGCAATGCTTCCTGGGTACCCAGAGGCATACAAGACTGAAGCAAAAGAGCCAGAGATCAGCTCCTCGAAGCCGCTGCTTGAGGAAGGGAGGCTGCACACCTCTCCACCAAGCTGCTGCCACCGCCGCCGCATCCCCAGCTGGCACCGGGTCCCACAGGCTAGAAGTGCACACGCAGCACAGCTGTGCGCTCTGGGGGTTCTGTGTGCTTTCCTACATGGCTCTAAAGAGGTGCTTGGGCAGCATCATATAAGCAACACCACACTAAGATCACAGCAGCTACAGGAAGAAAGCAGCCTACTAGAGTACCCAGTCTGTTCCTTCAACCAAAGAATCCAAAGTTTATCTCATCCGGACCCTTCTGTCTTAGGGTGAAATTTTGGCTTTCAAAGTTGTTAAATAACGGCCTTAACACCATGACATTTTCAAACAGAATTTTTCATAAATAGGTGTACAAACTAGTATTATCTGGACAGAACTATTCGCATACTACTGTTTGTAAAATTCATCCATTCTTTAGTTATAAAATTGCATTATGATTCTGAAAAATAATCAACTGGCATAAGACAACTGTTTCTACTGAGAACACGGTCAGACTGCCTGTGACTATATCTGTTCATCAAATACGGTGGGCTTTTTGCACATTACCCTTCAGGGTCCTCTAGACAGGCTGATTTTTATTTTTTATACTACTATCAGCAAGGAAAATAGGCACAGAAAATGCTACCTGTCTTACCACAATTGTCTCTTATATTAGCTGCATTCCTTTGTTTTGGTGCTTTTATTCTGTGTCTATTAAAACATCCCTTCCCTGAAAACGTAATTTTAAACAAAAACGACACATTAAAATGTTTCTGTGTAGACAATGAAGAAATAATATCAACTAGAAGAAAACCAAACACAGACAAACATACAGTAAACAAAGTCAAATTCAAGTGTTACTTACCTCTTCTCTTACTCCCTGAGACCTGCACACAAGCACACTAAAAACAATCCCAAAAACAATTCCTATTGCCATGATTACAAAAGGGATTCCAGTTACAACACTGGCTTCCAGCAGGACGTGCTTGAGTTTGTTGGCAGATGCTTCATCAATCAGAACGCTCTGGAGTAGAGAAGAGATGAAGAGAGAGGAAAAAAAGAATATTTCCATTCTTCATATTAGGCCATTTTACTTTTGTGGGGGTAAGCTAACAACACTCCCACGACTCTGCACCTTTGCTTCCTTGCATAATGTACCTTCCCTCTGAGAATCCCCAGCTATTCCTCTGAGGCCAGAAGGCAAATCTGGTCTGCATTTCTAAAGGAAGTAGTGATTAAAATGCTCTGGTTAGGAATGCAATAGCACTGGCCTGGAATAATGACACATATCATCACAGGTACTCTCCTAGAGCGTTCCCTGAATCCAGTGAATTCAGTGATCCAACACAGCACAGTCTGTACTACTACTGCATTTGCAGAAGTCCCCAGAAACAAAGATGAGATTCTGCACACGTTCAGCCTCTTCACCCGAGCAGCCTTTTTCCTTACTGTCAATATCTTCACAATTAAAAAGACTACCCAACAAAGATTTTCCAGAACTAAACTTAATGCAGTGGTCAACAAGCGGCAGAATGATGTTAATAGGAAACAACTTCCTACTTATCACTACATAAAACAACAGGAAAAAATACATAATTTTTTCATGGCTAGCTCAAAGTCAGTAGTTTTGCAAACATAAACATCTCACAATGCTGCAGAGAACGAACGAAATTATTTACCTCATTTATATACATCACTGGGAAAATTAGTGTTCGGATGTTACCTGTTTCACTGTGTTAAAAAAAAAAAGAAAAACAGCAATAAGAAATTATGCTTTTCCATTCTTTTGACTTGAGGGTTCTGGAGACAGATTATACAGATTATAACAGAGCTATGAACAAGGAAACTGCCCCTAAAAAAACACTGGGCTGTTGCTTTCTAATGTTGGTTTTCACTTTCCCACTGAACTAGGACAGTGTCAATCTCCAAGAAGCTAAATAATTTCTGGCTTGGGATATGGTGAGGAGAGAAAACAAGGGATCAATGAGAGGCTTGTTAGTAACTAACTGAGTGACAGATATGTCAGTCAGCAGGAACACTAAGCTAAGCTGAGGCTGAATGTTACTCATATTTGTAAACACAGAAACAGTTGTCTGTCACATAACATTCACAAAGAAGAAAAAAAAGCGTACATGAAGTAACAGCCTACTCCTAAACTGTGTTAATGTAACAGCTCCTGGGCACCAGAAAATAAGGTAGTGTTAGTCTGAAAAAAGGTTGAGCATCCTAAGAGGACTGGACTGATTAAAACACTTATTTTTAGTTATAATACATAGCAAAAGCATGCCAACAAGTAGCAGCTCAGAAGCAGAGAAGCAAAAACAGCTATTATATCTCATAGGCAACAATGAAATCAACAAGTCAGAAAGACACAAGGTAAAGGTACTGGTATTTCTATACAACTTTATCTGCAGTTTGTGGAAAGTCCCTCAAACTGAGACAACTAGAAAACCCTGCAGAATCCATTTGGAGCAAAGAAGCAGAGGAGCTATTTTACGCACACATGTACTCCCTTACGCAGGATTGCACTGACTACCTATGTCAGTAGAGGTTTCTATCCTTTATCATACTGTTGTAGTCACAGGCAAGGTCTTTCTCTCTACCTGATCAAACAAGCCCTTCCTCATGAGTGGTGTTTTAAAATCCACCACCTGATCTTCCGCCTTGAAGGGGTCATGTCTTCTCATATGGTTTTCACATGACCGCTGCTGAGAAATGACAGCAGCTGCAGTATTTTTGCCTCCTAAAAGCAGTGAAGAGTAAGATGGCATTACTCACTGCAATCAGCAGCAAAGCCCCAAGTTTCTACCCTCCTTTTGCTGTGGCAGGTCCTTTCTGGAGAGGGTCAGTGTGATATACGGATGCCACTACAAGGATTGTGTGCAACCTGTCTCCAGCAACTTGCTTTTCTTGAGTCTTTACTCTGCAGAAAGAACTCCAATAGCCTCTTGGGCTGCGAGTGAGGAGGATACTGCCATCTGCAATTAAGATTTGACTGGCTTTCTCTCTTAAATGTTCTGTCTCCAACCAATATTCCATCTGAATACAGCAGACACATTAATTCTGAATATCAAATTAGATTTGAGATATTCACCCAGCAGCAGAGAACACTTACAAGAATTCAGGTAATTTTCTGACATGAACATTGATCTGCATCCGCTTGGCTGCTTGCAGGACAAGCCCTGTCAGCTAGGGAATAAAATAAAGAAGTGAATTTAAAACAATAATAATAATAATAATGAATGTGAACTAATAGGAATTAGGAGAATACAACCTAATAGTTGCACTGATATGGATTTGCCAGAGTGGTACATGACTCCCTTGGAGTTATTATTTATCCACATTCACCAAAGGAAGACATTCTTATATTTTATATGCCCAGACTTCAGTCTGCCTCCAAATTACATAGATGTGAAGAGGCCACAACAGAAATAAGTGTGCCATCATGGTATACAAACCACACTTAAGCTACAGAGGAATCCCCCATCCTTCAGATCTAGATATAGTTTTGGAAAAAGCTGACAACTAATGCTGCTTGTTCTGGTCTCTGAATACGAGAGAAACCTTTCTTTTTGCAGATTTCAGTGGATAGGAGTGTATGGCCCCAGAGAATGATAAGCACAAAACATTTCTCAGAGTATTGCCACCACAAATAAAGTTTCAATTGAGGCGCAGAAGTATTTTCCCTGTTCAAGCAGTCAAATTTAGTCCGTGGTGATGAGAAGGAGGCGGCACACAGCTCCTTTTACTCTCATTCTTCAAAAGGGGAAGTAGGAGCTGGCTAACAGGAAGAGCCTGGCACCAAACCAGATACCAAGAAACATGTGCACTAGACCTTCAGGCTTTGAAAGAAACTATGCAATTTCTTCCTGCTCATGCTAAGCATAACAGCTTGATGAGTCACGCTGTTTCTTTCTGCAAACTAGGCAGGCCATGGTTTTCCTCTCTCTCTTTATCTACCTTCAGATGTGGATCTAGAGAACAGCATAGAACTACAGATCATGAGTTGAAAGCTCCCTTCATTTCTGACATCTCACTGTGAGATTACCAAAAACTCTGCAAACTACCATGGAAGACATATTGACCATGGCTGTGTATCAATCTTTCTGTGGCTCCATGCTACCTAAGTTGAGTTCAACGTCCACTGGGTATATCTATCTGCTGTCTTAGTCTACATACCTAGCTTCAACTTGGGAAAAATACAGACAGGAAAAAACCCCAGTGGGTTGAAAGCAAAGTGAGGAGAAAAAGCCTCATCTACTTCTCAGAAGTATTTTAACCCCTTCAATGCCAGTCTGATAGCATCACTAACTGCAAAGGTATGATAGGAAAAGCATTTTAATTCTTGGTACCCAGCAAAATTTATTCTATATAAGCAAATATAGATAGTTCCACATAAGCTAGTGAAGCTTCACTGTGATTAATGGGGACTACATTGATACACATCATGCAAGAAAGTGACCTAAGTCTATGAGCTTGGATTCATCTGTATAACCCTCTAAAAAAGGCTGTACTTACAGGATTGATATCCACAAATGTCTCGTGGTATTCCTTTGTTGGGTGCATGCCCTCTATGTCACTTATAAACTTTTGCTCTGCTTGGTAAAAATGTGGAGCTGACAGAAATATGGGAGCACCTGGAATGTAAAAACACAGAAAACCACAATTGAAAAAAGAAAAGATTTGAAGAAGTCTTTGAAGACATCAAAGTTCTTTGTACTGGGCATTCGCAGAATGATAAGTCCACTCTGGGGCTACAGAGTTTACACTCTGACTCCCTGTCCTCTGAACAATCCAAAATTTTCCATGTTCAGCATCAGCACAGCTTCACATCCGAAGGCTGTATGCTTGTGTATTGCATTATTTGCATTCACCTAGGCACAAATGACACTACCTGCATAAGAGAAGACTATAAATACCCAAGCTGCTCAATGTGGATACTAGTTCTTTTGATTTCCCTGATTTAAATCACTGCTGGAGCTTATGGCATCTCACAAGAACACCCCCTCGGATCACGTCTTCACTACAGCAGTTTAACACCAACCAACCACTTGTTGGTGACTGACTTCACTGAGTGTAGACGCATTTCTACAGGCCTCACATATTTCAGACAGAAAGGAGCAATACGCTCCCACTGAAGTCCCTCCAATCTATTTCCACTGCCTGGCAATATACCTTGCTTGCAGATGCTGACATTGAGGACACCAGCACCAGGGCAGTTTCCTGGTGGTACGCAGAATCCAGCGTTGTCTGGGTTAACGGTGGTGTTGGCAAACACCATAGGGGAGGGCACAAAGCGGTAGGTTGGGACACCTGCAACACTTCCTGAGCTGTCATACACCAGGTAAAGAGATCTGCAAGGAAGAAAAACCAGACCAAGATTTGTTAGTCTTCAGCACATGCTGATTACCTGCTGCAAATGTCTCTGTTGATGCCTGTGCATCTATTTCAGTTTAAAGGAAGCTGAAAGTTTAGCCTAAGCCCATTCCAACAATCTTCTGCATTCAGTGTAATATGTTTGTGATCTACACATGTGTATCTCATCACTCTGCTGCTGCACCAAATGGACAATACTGCACAAATTGTGCTGTTCCATGAACACTGATGCTTGCCTTCAGCATTTTGGGGGTTGATTCTGGTCCCTATGATGCTATTGTGTGTTGTGCAAAGCAGTGCTGGTACACGTTATTGAGGGGGAACACAGTGGGGCAAGGTCAGGGGAAGGCACAAATTTGGCAAGTCCTAGATTTATCATAATATACATCTGTACTGATTTAGATAGAGAATTTCAGATCATTTTTGTTGTCCATAGACAAGAAAACTTGGAAGGGAAGAGATCCGCAGGTGGAATGTCAGGAAACACCATGTTTTCCTGCATACTGTTGCATTTTAAGTAGCACTGTTTCAAGCCATGCATCTCTGAAGAAGGTAGTCTGTGTTCTCTAAAAAGTAGAGTCACAGGAAGATTTTCTAAGGAAAGAAGCTTCAGGCAAGGTTCATATAAATCCTGTTCCTCTCATTACAAGCCCCCCTAGGCAGTCCAGCCGCTCTCCAGACACCTTTTTGATTTCCACTTTACCTTTCTTTAGAAACAACACATCTTTAACTTGATGCATATTGGGGTGCCTGAGGTTTAATTCTCTTGTCCTTCATAGCACAATCAAATACTGAACACTGATACTGTTAAATAAAATGATGGACAGAAAAATATCAACCTAATATGAAACCTCAATAGGAATGGACACAAATGCTCTGCTGTGAAGTCCAATTCCCTTTTCTTACCTGCAGAAATCAGAAGAAAATATATAAATGTTCTCATCTTTGCTAATCAATGGATGAAAAGATGTCCCATCTGTTCCATTGATCATGTTACAAGTCTTTGTTGTCCACCAGTTCAATGACCTGAAGAAAATTAAGCAAAGAGAATAAAGTTTAAAAGACCTTTAATTGGTGGTCAGTCCAGGTTATGCTCTGAGCAAAGGATTAACAGACCTGTATAGTGCTAAGTTCTATTTCCTCTACTAACAAAAATAGGGTTTAAATTGCATTTATCTCATTATTAAACCGGTGGCAAACAAGTAAGAATCCATCTGCAAGAGTTTCTCCCATATATGTAATTGATGGGAAATGTTTTATTTAATGGGAGAGAGTTGCTTTATGTAGTTCTTTGGCTTCTGTGTAATGCTTGCTGCCCTCCAAATAAGTGTCAGGCACCCAGGCATGAGCTTTCTCAGCCCCAGCTCTGGGCACAGAGCAGCAAGGAATGGTGCTGCCTGGATACGCAGGATGTCTGTGCCTGTACACAGCCTGCTGCTTTGGTACTTCAGCCCCACAGGGCTTGCAGGGTTGTCCCAGAGGAGAGAGTGGAGAAGGGGCCACCTCTGCCAGAGGGCACACAGGGGCTCAGAAGTGAGTGTTCACAGCAGTCTGCTCTCTAAGGGCAGGGCTGTCTTTTCATAATTACATGATCCATGGTAAAATACTGGAGGCACAATTGAAGCTAGAGCTGCTAAGAAGTACCATCAGCTCCAGAATAAAATAACCTTTTTTTTTTTTTTTTTTTGGTAAAAGAACATAAAGATGAACATTTTTGCTCATTAGAAGTATGAAAAGAGGCAAATTTTAACAGAGGCCTAATCACACTGAAAAACTTACTCTTTTCCTTTCCATTCCACAATTCTTGAGAAGTTAAGGTAGTTCATTTCTCCACTGAGGAAAACATATTCTCCATCATCAGTTCCATTCATCTGCAAACACATAGGTGAGTTTTTGTTATTCCACTCACCTTGTTAACACTTGGCCAGTAACTACATCAGAATGACAGGAGTCTGAGTTGTCATCACTTCAATTCCACTCTGGGAGCGACTACTTTGAAGTGCGTGCAAATCATCAAACTTCACCTTGTATATGAAATCAGGTGGCAGTGGCTGTGCTAAATTCTCACTCCTCCTTGGTGAAGGGGATCTAACATTAGGTTAGCTCTTCTTCCCCTTTGAAATTTGCCAATAGCAAAATAAACCCACAGAAAACAAATTGAGTACTGCAGATAATCTCTGAGAAACAAGCCCAAGCTGACTTGCAGTCAGAGACACTGAGGAAGCCAGCAATGGCTATCACTCAGAAATAACATACAGTCTCAACTAACTACTACTAAGGAAATCTTTCAGGAAATTTTCTTTCTTTCACAGTGCTGGTGCAAATAAGACCACATTATGAAAATGAGCACAGTCAACAGTAGAGATGTTTATATCCACTCTTGGAAAACTCATGCATATATGACAAAGGGAAGAGATAAAACACTTGAAGTTGGATCACAGGTCAGAGCCTAGATACAACCAAACTGAAGAGGAAACTCCCTTTTGCTACCTCTGCAGCCTGTCTCTACAGCCTCAGTTTGCGAGCAGCCTGGCTGGCAATGACAGTCCCAACACTGTGGCACTGACATCACTCCCAATTTAAAGAGTCAGGAAGTCCTGCACAGTAATTACCTTATTAAAGAAGCCAAACACCGGGTCGATTTCAGGATGCAAAACATGAATGGTTGACAGGAGTTTGTCTTTGTAGCCCCACAGTAATTCATGCACTGTGCGAACTGTGAACAGGGATTCTTGGTACAGGAGCAATAGCACCTCCGTGGCAAACTGAAGAGATGTTGCCCTGGTCCACTCCATTGCAGTCTACCAGGGGATTAGAATCAGGGATTAGAATTCAGATTTATTGTTGGATAAATAGTAACAGTTGGACACAAACAGACACATATCAGCACTGCACATGTTTCACTTGCATTTTCAGTTTTGTTATTTCCACTTGTGGCAAGTAATATGCAGGCTAACAGGTTCTTCAGCTATTCTTGACAGGGAAGTGCTCCTACAGGTTCCCCCTCAGCCAGACATGGGCACACATCCAGCTTGGTTTCATGCCAACCCTTTCTGTAGTGTTCAGAGTGGATTTTAAGTGAAACTGGCAACACCGCTTTCTAAACAGTGGGAACTGCTGGAGATGTGCTCTGGATTTCAGCCTGAGGAAGTCATGGCTTACATGTTGAAAAACAAAGACTGTAAATATAGGTAATCTCCAAAATAGAAACACCAAAAGTTATTTATTTCGTAGCTGGAAAAGTGATTTAATGATATGTATCTAAAATAAATTAAAAAAAAAAGGAAAGAATACTCCTTGGATGAACCAAACTGCAGCTCTTCTAGAACTACCTGTTACAGTATATCTCAGTCAAAAATCTGAACAAGAGAATATTAACACTCAAATGCCTGTGAAGAACATTGTATTCACCCAAATCAAAACAGACATTTTTAGAAATTCTAGGGAAAAATTAATAACGGACTTCAATTACAGGGTATAAATGAGCATAAGGAGTAAAGGCTTCGTTACACAACCAACAAGTATTTCTGTACTGTCTGCTTTTCCTTGCAAGGTATAACTGCTTTGTATCTGCTTGTTCTTGAGCTGTCAGTACCTGTGTGAGATCAAAAAATAATGGTCTGCTTCTGTAGTCTGACCTAAAACAGAGCGTGAGTGCCTGTCTTAATTGTAATTGGTAGTACCTTTTCATTCACTGGCATCTGAAATCCCTCTTGTATAATTTTTTTTCCAGTTTGTGATGCAGACTTCAAGGTGATTTTTGAAATTTTGATTGAAAGCAACAACAAAAACGCATTCAAACGTCAGAGTTCCTCCTATGTGTTTGATTTCAGTAACTCCCTGATTTTGTTTAGTCATGAAAAGCCAACAAGCCTGATTTTTGCTCATCTCCAAATTGTCGGCTCTCAGACAAGGAGTGAAAAACTGATGCTACAGAGGTGTTTGGTGAGGAAGGAATGTAACAAAAAAACCACAACGGTTCAAACCTAAAATGAATGCAGCATCTCTCTTGATATAAACTGCCTCTCGAGTTCTTCAATCATCTTTATCTACCACAAAAAGGAGAGGCAGTATGGAGCAACAAGCTGGTAGGTATAACACGAGTTACACCGACTCCCAAGTGTCCTCCCAGAAATGGAGGAGAACTCACCACTGCAGGAACATTAATTGTTCTAATCAGATCCACTTCAGGGTCTCCAACTGACTTCTGAGGTTCAAACACATACGTCTTTGGATTCAGAGCAGATACTTTGGTGCCGTTGTCCAAAAACTGAACATGCACTCTTGGCCTGTATTCTCTGAAAAACAAGAGTTTGCTCTGTAAGCAAGTTAAACGTGTACAATTAATGCTAACTGCAATCAACTTGTGGCTATTGTACTGCTCTAAGAAAGTGAGCTGCTCATAGCCTCAGAGGTGCTTCTGGTGCTGTCTAAGCACTCAGAAAAGCAACATAAAACTGAAGATTGCTGACAAACAAGTCCAATTGGAAGAAACATCAAATGCTACCTGGTCTAGTAAGGAAGTCAGATCTTAACTACCATGAAGCACATGTCATAACCATAATTTAGTCCATGAACAATAGCATTTTGCAAGCAAGAAACACAATTCTATAGAACCGGCTGGCTTAGGTTCAAAATGAGATACATATCTATCTTCAGCAAATGAGAAAGCAGAAGTGGCAGGTTGTCTTCTCATGACATTATCCATCTGGCATATGTCTGAGTTTAAATGGACTGTACTGCATGAGCATACATTCATGTAAGAGCTTGTTCATTTTTACAATGCTTTGCTTCCTGAGTAAATTCTAAATCCAAAGATGCAAAGGTGAATTATCCTGCAAGACTCTGTTACAACGTTTTTCATTCACTGCAGATCATAACTCCACTCCTGGCTGCACTAGATCTTTAATGCAGCTTAATGACAGGCTGTATTATTTGATTTTGTCTTTCTAATTTAAATCAAACTGGAAAGGTCTACAAAAATCAACCATCTCCCAACACTCCTACAAAAACAGTGTCATCTACCACTTCTCAGCATCCCTACCACCTATGAACATTTTGGTCTGGGTACTTTCTAGTTTGATTTGGCAAAAGCCTCTTCTACATTAATCTACTCTGTAGCCTGATGCTTGAACAGAAGGGGTGGGAATGAACAGCTGTGAAATGTCTTATCTAAACCAGGCTAGAGGTAACCTGAGAAGCCCTTCCAGCTCTAAAAAGTCTACAGAGGAAAATAATACTCCCTGACTAGGGACACAGGTAGGAGCACAACGGATGTTAAAGACAACAATCTGTTCATGTGTGCACGAGCAGAAAATATTCAGCTGATCTTCAGGACTTAGCAAGCTTGGGCAGATAAGCAGCTTCCATTTAGAATGAATTCTTTTATTTATTGTAAATCCAACTTACAGGATATAAAAAGACAAGCGTGGCTGCATTTTTGTTTGAGAATCTACTTCTGCACTAACTGGGTTTACAATCTATGTTGGTCAAAACCATGAACTGTTTCAAACTTAATCACCTAGGATGAGACTATTTAGCCATCTCCTCCTCCTCTCTGCCGCTCCAGGCATTTTCCCCTGCTTGCTGGGGGTGGTTCACTTCCAGCCTTTCTACCTCCTACCCAATTTGATAAAACAACTGAGCCATGCACTTCTTTTTAGAGTATTTTAGACGTTCTGCCACATGCTAAACCTAAATGGCTCTTGATTACTTTGCTACACTGGGCCTGTGAGACAAACCTAGCATTTACTCTCTGGCTCTAGCATGCAGTATGCCTGCAACACCTCTTCTCGATCCTGCTCCTCCATCGTACCTCCTCCTTCCCCACCCACTGCCAACAGTCGAGTTCAGTTAACAACAGCACTTAAGCAAGGATTAAAGAAAGAATCCACTGGGAAAAAGCACTTCGGTTTTTAACTTTCCTGTTTCTTCCATCCGATGGAGCACAGCACAGTTGAATTTTGTTTAGACATGACAAAACTGGGCAAACCAAAGACACCAGAAGCTGGAATGTACAGCCTGCCTCCCTTGGACAGCAATGAACAAGGCAGGAATCACCTGCCCCAACCTGCTCCTACACAGACAGCCTGCGGTGTGTGCTGCATGGGAAAGCTCTGCCAACAAGCCACAAGTCAGTAGCTCTCTATTTTTTTCTCCAGTTCTACCAGTTCATCTAATAGAGGTATTCTGCCAAAGTAGCATAACTACTTTGCCAAGTCTTAACAAACACAGTAATGAAAAGGAGGAAATGGGAAGAGGGAGGAAGTAACGCAAAGCTGAGCTGTGGGAGGAAAGGAACAGAAGGGGAAGGCATATTGCAGAGAATTAGGCAGCCTGAGAGAAAACTGTCTGGATCAATGTGTGACAGTGATTGGCGACAAGAAATTTACATTTCTGTCTTAGTTCTCATACCTCCCTCAGTTCAAAGGCTGTCATGTCTACTGCCACAGGACTGCTCCTGGTGTACATTACTGTGTGCAGAGGAGCAATATGAAACTGTAAGGGAAAACTTACTTGTAAAGCGGACTGAAATCTCTCCAGGTCCAGAAGAGTCAGACTGCTCAGTGTGGAGCCATATCATGCAGAAGGAGAGGCCAGGAGGATGGATAAGCTCCAACACTGCACATGGCCTTACTGAATCCTGCTGTCTGTAAAAATTGTAGATGTATCTGAATCTAAGTAGGTGAGGGCTGGCTGAGGGAAATCCCTGTAGTTCCACTCTGTAACTGGTTTTCTGCCCACATTTTTACTGATATGAATTGTGCAATTCCAGCTAGGAACTAAGTTCTGAGTGAACACATGAATCACACCTTTATGCAATGCATAATGGAATACATCTCAGTCAATCAGTATCTTCCTCTCACAGTACAGTAGGCCATGATGCAGAGGGCTCCTTTGCATCCAGCTGCTGAGGAACAGCAGTGCAAAAGCAAAATCTTGCACAAAATCTGAGAAGATGCTGGCTGAATCTGAAACTGCTTGCAGGTTGTTGATGTGTCAGCCTATCAGGTGTACTATCCAAGTAGTGATGAATGAATCTATTCTCTGCTGAATAGTTTTTCAAGCATTCGTTAACAGCTAGGTTTCATCCTAGAATGGGATCCCAAACATTCTGAATCCCACTTTTTTGCCTCCTTACACACACCATGTTTAGTGAAATATAAACACAGAAAAATGGTCCTACCGGTAGGTATATGGCCCTTTTTCCTCCACAAGAGGAGTAGCACCTTGAAGCACTTCTAGTGGATTTGTCACATTAAAAAAGTAAAACTGCATGTAGACTGGTGGAGGAGGATCTTCCCAAGCTTCAAAGGTTTCTGTGCCATTTTTTAATACTGTACCCTGAAATAAGAGAAAGACAAATAAGCCATTAGTGGTAGATACTGAATGATAGTCATAGGAAAGGGAGAAATTCTATGCCCTCAGAAAAAAGCAGACATTAAAATTGGAGATCCCAACTCTACAGATACTTTGTGCTTTGCTTTGAAGCACATCACCAAATCAGACACATACAACTAATACAACTATACCTGCAGCCCAGGGGCATACTTTGTTGGAATTACTGATTTGCTTCTTCCTACAGACAGTTCTGCCTGACGTTTTTCAGAATGAAGACTTACCAGCTACTGCACAATGACCCTCTTGCACTCCCTGTATCAGCAAAAACATAACCTGGTGTAAAACAGCACAAAACAAGCTGTATTACAGAAAAAAGAAGTGGAACTCAATAGTGTGAGACCACGAAGTCATAAACAAGATATCTCAGGAGGAAAAAGGCCAGAAAAGAAGTTCATCTTCCTTGTGTTTATGATTTATTTGCCTAAGAATGTCAGATTCCAGTACAGCTGTGACACTCTGTCTCCAAAGCAATTGAACTTTGTTTCTCATTGGCCAGGGAGAAAAAGCTGCAAATGACAGAAATTTAAGCAGAGACTGAGATTCACACCTTTCTGAGGACTCTGAATAGGGCAAATGTTCTTTGCCCTCTGCCTTTAATTACAGCAATGAGAAGGTGTGCATCTCCAGACTACTTGTGTATTTTGTACTCAGCAAAACATGGGCCTACAAAATAAGAGCTACAAATAATTATTTTATTACAGAAGCTCTTACATAGTGAATCAATAATTCCTATATCAATGTGTCAGAAGGAATGGCACAGCTGTAGCTGTATGCAGCTGCCTTAAGAATATATAACATAGGTCTCAATCCCATATTTTCTTACCATTCCATTTTACATAAAATTCATCACAACTATAAAAGCACCACTAAGAACACCACAAAAATCAGGGCTTTTCCTATATTTTGACACTGCTGCGCCAAAGCTGCAGTAAAGAAAAACATGGCTTGCAGAATGGAATTTACGAGAATACGTGAAACAAAACTCTATCTTTGAAAAGCTTATCACCAGCAGGCGAAAGAAGGAGGGGAAATAATTTGCAATTAAATGGGTCTCATCAACACTTGCTCTTTTTATTCTTCTGAGAAAACAAGTCAAATATTGTTAAGCACAAATTCAAAAGCAAGGCAGGCTGGACAGCTGCCATTTCTTGGTTAACATCTATGAGGTCTTAACTTTTATCAGCCACAGTGCCTCAGGATTCTTTCTTGGTTTTCCCACTAAAGGAGCTGTTTTCTCAGCATGCAGCTTTTAATGTTGTACGATTGGATAAAGAGAAGACTGTTTAAAAAAAAAACAAAAAACCACACATTGGCGGGAGCTTGGAATGGCAGCAGTATTCCTGAATAGCAAAGTAAGCCCATCCAGCCAGTACTATTCTGCAGATGCAGACCGCTTTCCTCTGAGGATTTCACATCACATTTTCTACAAATGCCACAAATAATGCAAGCCGTGTTTCAGGTGCTTTGTGCATTTCTTCTTCCTCACATCCACTGTTTCCTACACAATCCAATGCTCTTGATCTGCTGTTTTGCAATTTATGCCAACGCGGCTCAGGCCTATATTCAGACTGAGCCTTCCCGAAGTTGGTTTGTAGGATCAGAAATAGAAAATCTCATTAAATCAGGCATACTGTTTCCACGACACTGCCAGAAAGGGCTGGGAATGACACAGCATTGTATTTAATGAATCCAGAAATGACCGCTATATTTCTTCTCCATACGCACAGTCGGTTATTTGAGAGGCAGTGGTGTAGTACCCTACTGATGTCAGTCCCCTTTCTAAGTCGTACACAGCTCACATTTCCCACGTGCATGAAATACAATTGAGTACGAATGTGGCACCAATATTTGTATCAGACTACTCACACCCATCTTGTCCTTAACTCTGAGAATGAGTACTATTCCCCAAGAACTAGTAAGCTTTATCAGAGCACCTATTTACCACTCAAACTGCTCTCACATGAGGCAACTAAAATGAGAGATTGCTCAGTCTAAATGTTCAACTTTTTAAAAAAGTGAACCCCAGTCATATTAATTCCAGTTTCATGTTCCTGAGATTTTGAATTTTAAGCGATCCCCTGGGAGATGAAGTACAGAGCAAAAGGGCAGTGAAACGCTGTCATACTGCGATTTATTTGCTGGATCTGCGTAACACTGCTTGGATCTCCCACAGAAATGACAGGGACTAATTTTAGCTCCGCACAGTGACAGCAGCAGTGTAAACTCAGATTCACAAACTTCTGAGCAGGACTTAGATATACTCCCATAAAATTCTCAAATAACAAAATACAGTGTGCTCTTTTCTTCTGTTTTTCACCAAATGTTACCAGGAATATTTGCATCTGCCACACGATACTACATTGCCCAGTGCTAAGAGAAAAATTATGAGCTCATATTTGAACAAAACGTATGTCCATGCCCCCAGCCGAGTTCAGTTCTGCTGACTGATTCACAGCAGAGGAGCCTCTGACATTACATGCGTGGGATCATTGTTTTGACAGAGGTTGTGGTCACTACTAGGACAGGCAGGCTGCAAAATACTAGATTACATGACTGCTCTTTAATCTAAAGATATGTAAAAGATACAGCCTCACCTGCAGTTATTGTTTCTGTACTGTCAGAGATTCAGTCCTTCCCTCCTGATACATGCAGAAGTACAAAGCATTCAGAACCCTCAGATCAGACTCCAGTCCTGCAGGCAGTAGCCCAGGAAGGCCTGAGACTCTGAGATGCTGTCTCACAGAGACGTATGATGCACCTTCTGCAAGACCAGCACCTAAAAGCAGTGCACTACATGATCTTGTGTCCTCACATAGCTGTGCTGCACAGCTTCTTGTTTCTCAGTGGAGTCCATATTAATTTCAAACAACAAAAACATCTGTCCCACTGGCTTTATTTACTGTGACAGTCCATTTACTGGTGTTTCCTTGCCTTAGCCTCAGATCACAAAGAGGAAATATAAAATGAGCTTTTCCTCCAAAATGTAATTTTTACTGCTGGTGATAGTAGAGTTTTTTTCCTGAAACCGCAAAATGATCTAATCCCAGGACAATACATCCATCTGTGACAGAACGGAATCACAACTTCTTAAGGGAAGCTATAGGGTAAACGTTCAGGCCAACACAAGCAGATTTCTCTGACCCTGTGTTTTTAGAACTGCCTGTTCAAAAGGAGCAACTCAAATCCAGACTAAGCAGTGCTGAGAGTATTTCACATTAAGCAAAAGCTTACAGTGATCAATATATAAAATAAGTTAAACGATAAAATATCTTCCCTGACCCTCTGGGTCTTACATGCTCCTAATAATTCAGCTCTAGAGACTGCTGGCAACAAAAGCCCATTGAAATTTAAAGGGGTTAGAAGACTAAGCATTTTCTAAAATTATCAGCATAAGATATGTGGCATAAACAGAACACTTGAGTAAAGACACAAGGACTGATTGTCCAAGTTTTGCATTAGGTACACAGCTCAAGGGTTGTCATGTTCATAAACTGCACAATTAAGGCAGTAAAATCCACAATCGTGCAACAAATATATATGATAAGACAAACATTGCTTGCAGCTAGGCAAGCCTTTATTCTGTGGGCAGCTATTTTACTCTCTTTTATTGCAGTTTTTTTCCCATGATTTGATCAGTTTCAGGTGCTACCCCAACAACTCACAGTGCTGGACTAGATGGACATCTGATCTGGCACAGCATTCTAGTTCACACACACACAAAAAAACAACACTAAGACTGACAATAAGAAAATAAATTTGAATGCTTTCTGAGAAAGGTGTTCCCACTGTCCTCGTTTTTACAGAATTGCCTGCTGACTTTCCAGGGAATATGAAGTCTGATGTCCTGCTGATTCCCCTGTCCTTCCCGTACTTCCACTGTCTCCAGGAGCCCAGGAGGATTTCATGCTCCCTGTCATTGGCTGGAAAGAATGTGGCATACAAATTCCCTACTGCAAGCCAACTTATCGTCGTTGCTCTATGGATTGTGAGTTTGGATACACATGGGATTCAGAAGGTCCAAAATGCGGCCTTCCAATTAAGCTTACTTCATTGCTTCACTTACTTCACTGCAGTGCTGTTGCAGGACTGCTAGAAGACCCTCAATGGAGTATGGACTACCTGTGGAAGACAACCTCCTTCCCCTTCTGCAATTCTTCCAAAGGCAGGTGGGTGTGGATGGTAAAGAGGGGCCAGCATGAAACACACGAGCACTGAGATGGCATTTCACATCCATTGCCCTGGACTTCAGAGCAGTGATAGAATTCAAAAAGCTCTTGTCTTGCCGCATTTCAAAGGCAAATTGAGATTTGTGTATTTGTACAAGATTTTCTAAGCTGTAGACATGGTTACACAAGAGACAGTAACCTGCTAGGCCACACACAAACAAGAAAAACATGTGGAATAAAGAACACGTGGAAAGAAGCAGAATCAGCAGAGTGATGAGGAAACACAATGATTAGGGCTGAAAGCTGTTCTTCCACAGTTTGAATGCTTGGCTCTTGCAGATGGCCAGCAGGGTGCCACTGGCTTGTGTGGGGAGCAGGATGCTTGATCCTGTGCAACCCAGATACACTGGCATGAGCTGCAGAGTACTAAGTAAGAAAAGACTGAGCTCTAGGAACTGTTTCCTGCGTTACCCAAAGCTCTGGCAAGTGACTATCAATTTGCTCTTATATAATCAACCACTAAGGGTAAGGAGCATGCAGCTAAGAGGTAATACGCATAAGGAGGATCACAACTAATTCCTGACAGTCCTACGCTATCCCACCAAACCTTTTTTTCTTTCTTCACCCCCCTGCACTTGTGTTAAGTCCATGAAATATTTGAAACTACAACTTCTGCTGTGATGCAGAGGATGACAGAATGGCTTGGTTTGCACAAAACTTTGCATACATTAACATTCACATCAGTTCATTTCTGCCTTTCAGAATGCCTATGAGCTGACGATGGAACGACTGCAGAATAACCCAGGCTACACTCCACTTCACTGCCAGGAGGAGCTCCTGAAGAGCAGCTGACACACTGACAGCCCACACCTCAGCTCACCCTCTGGTGGCCTCCTGTTGGCTACACCCCAGACTCAACAGAAACACCTGGAACTTGTTTTAAGCTGACTGCACTCATGAAATCAAATTAATTTAAGACACTGTAGCTTCTCAGTGAGGAAATGCCCACTATCAATGCCTTGAGGAAAATAGCAGCACGTGGGTTAGGACAGCAGATTTCTGTCACCAACCAGACAATAGAACTGGTCACATCATACGGTAGTGCTCTTGGTTTCTCTGAGTAATACAGGCCATTACACTCTTCAGACTAGGAAGACTAGTTAATTTACATGCTTCACACATACTTTAAGGGAAAACAGCTACTGAGGAGTGCTTTTCATGATACGTAGGGGAGTTTCTAACACTAATGCAGTTGACCACGATAGAAATCCAAATGGCCAGCATTTGGATTTATGACCAACATGACCATAAGGGAGGAACAAAAACTGAGGAGGACCTCTGCACTCCTGAGGATGCAGGTGTCCCCAGACCACAGCATGCAGCCCGTCTGCTCCAGAGGCTGCAATAAATGGAGCAGCAGGGCAAAAGCTGCCAGAAATATATGATGGACATGGGCAAAGGTGGAGGCAGGAGGAGTGCTTCAGGTGCTCCCTGCTGCCCTGTTGTGTGTTGCAGCATCTTCCCCCCCCTCCCCCCCCCCCCACAGATCACAGCAGATGTCTCACAGCCTGTAAAACTGTCTCAGAGCGCTTATTTTTACTCATATTGTCTGATTTCATGCAGCCCAACCCGAGCCCCGCCCCGGCCATAAAGGACCTGGCGTTTCGTCGCTGAGAGGTGTTTCGTCGCTGAGAGGTGCATGGTCCTCACCCGACCGCGCTTGGGCACCAAGGAACTATACAGTGCCACTCCGCCATCCCCGTCCTCCCTCCCTCTGCTGCCCAGGGTTATTTTGAGAGGGAATAAACCCATCGGGAGGGACTGCAGCCGAGCTCTCACCTGCTTCACCTGCAGGTCCACCACCGTCTGAAAGACATGCGCCACCAACAAGGAGACGCTGGCGATGAGCAGCGTCAGAGCCAGGACCCCCACGGTGACGAGACACAGCGACCTCATGGCTGCCGCCGATGAGACACAACACCGCCGTCAGCACGGCCGCCGCCAGGCTCCGGGCACGGCGCAAGGGGCGGGCGGCCGCCTCGCCACGCCTGCCGCGGGGCCGGGAGCTGCGGTAGCGGAGCCACCCGCCCCGCCGGGCACCGAGGGAGGGAGGGAGAGTCCCGGTGGCGGGGGCAGCTCCGCCGCGGGCGGGGGCCGCCTGCGTGTTTCGGCGGAGCGTTGCGCGGCCTGGTTGTTGGTTCGTGCTGAAATCTTCCTGCCTGTTGTGGGCGCCTCCTGGTGCAGCAGTCACGTGTCAAGGGTTTGCTGTGAAACAAGTGGAAGAATAATTATTCTTTAGAGGAAAACTTGTAGGGAACAGAAACAGCCTCTAGAACGAATAAAGCTTCGTAGGGATCAGATTCTACCGTAATTCAGTGCAATGCAGCTTCCAGTAGTGCAGTTAAGACGCATAAGAAATAAGGTGATGTATCCACTTCTCCTTTAAAAGGCAGTGGGCGCTCCTGCTCTAGCTTCCCACCCAAAATCACTTCCTGGAGCACTGCAGGAGGAGGGAGAGGAGCACGCAGCTGTGGCTTTCCCAGAAATGGACGCTGTGCTATCTGCCTTCCATCACAGCCTCTGTATTTCACAAAAGGAAGGGAAGTCCCAGGGATGCAGGACCTCTGCCTGTCCCATAGCCACAGCCATGCTGTTAGCAACACTCACACTTATTAAGTCTTGAATTGGCTCCGCTCCTCCAGCATTTTCCAGTCATGGGGCAACTGGCCATAGTCGTCTGGATTCAAGTAACGCCTTCCCTTAGGGAGAGCAAGTAAACTATCAGATAGATTCCCTGTTCAAATTGCTGGGGACAATGTTACAATGTACTTTTTTCTCTCATGAAAGGTTATGAGGTCAACTTTCATTAATTACTTGGGGAACTAGAACTCGTGTGGTTCCTCTTACGCAGTAAACAAAACCCACTGTTCTGTTAACAACTTTTAATTTGGATTCCCATACCTAAGTGGTGACTTCACTCAGTTTCATCCTCTTCTCTCCAAAAGCAAAGCAACAGAATAAATATTAGAACCCTTTTTTTGAAGACTAGTTGAACTATAGCAATAGAATTCTCCCCTTGAAAAATCTTCCATAGGAATTTCCTTATGGAACCATAAACTCTCCCTTACCCCATAAAATACTGTTTTTGGTGGGGACTGGCTGTCATGACGACTTCTACAAGTGGATATCTCCTCCCAGAATGCATTAAACATTTTCCATGGCTTCTTGAATCAGTGTAAAGGAGCCCTTGTTCTTGCCTCACCTGAAGTAGTGCAACTGCTCTGTGCCTTATGTTTTGTCTTGAGGATATCCTGATGCATGTACTCCAATGTAAGTCAACTGGTCCACTGTCTCCAAATCAGAGGTTCAGAAGAAAAAAAAAAAAACAACAGAACACTTCTCTAGTGAAACAAAGCCATTTTTACCATCTCTACATGTCACAGCCTTGAAGCTTTTTTATTAACAAAGACCATGCTGTTTTTATACCAATACTGAAACCACAGAAAGTCAAAAGGAAAGTGAGAACATTTAACAGATTGTAGAGACCACATCTGAGTTATTATATACAAGATGCATGATTTTTTTTAATGTAAATTTGCTTTGCCATTGAGACAGATGAAAGATTTTTTTGCAAGCCCAGAGACCCCAGACCTTGCAGATTAAGCACTGATTCCTGCAGAATTTTGCTTTTAGCTTAATTCAATGCTGCAATTTTTGTTTTGCCAGAAACCTACCCGTGGAATGTACAAAATGACACTACTTGTTCATACAGATTTTCTAGATACTCCATGTGGATTATTTCCTTCCTTCCTTCCTTCCTTCCTTCCTTCCTTCCTTCCTTCCTTCCTTCCTTCCTTCCTTCCTTCCTTCCTTCCTTCCTTCCTTCCTTCCTTCCTTCCTTCCTTCCTTCCTTCCTTCCTTCCTTCCTTCCTTCCTTCCTTTCTTTCGCAAACTATTTTACCTTTAGAAATCAGAAACTGCTTACTAGCAATGATATATTTAAAACACTCCCATGAACAGTGACTCCACCTCTGAAGTGCAGCATGGGAATGCAGTGGGCGCGCTGCTGGCTCAAGGCACAATACTGTATCATAATTACAAATCCCTGAGACAACAGAGGTGTATCTTCCCATGCCAAAGTCCCGAGGAAATGGGAAGAAGAAAGGGCAGATAAGGCCCACATTTGGAAATGCTTTTAAACGTTCTTACCCCACAATATTGTCATGTCCTTATTCTTTTTCCTCTTACACATTCTATTATTCCTCTATTTCCTCACTCCTTTCTTTTTTTTTTTTTTACTATTCAATCTGCCATTCTCAAGAATCTTTCCCACTTAAAATGACAGTGATTACAGAAGCTCAATCTAATAACTCTGCTTATGTGCTCCACCGTTCTCTTACCTGCAGTGTAAACTCTTGTGACAAATTTTTGCTTTTTCTGTTCCTGTATAGAACTTACTACAACTAGGATTCCAGCTCTGGTATGCCTCTGGCACTAACCATATAAATAAGGGTAAAATGACAGGCAGACCTGTCCTGCAAAATATAGCAGGTGCCACTTCACATGTTGAGGCCTCACTGACAGTCACTTAGGTAAAAATAAAAGGCAAATTGGTAACCAGAGAAGATGTCCTTCTATGTGAAATTCCACTCCTCACTCCCAATGGCAGACAAAACAGGTCTGAACAGACAGATTGGGATCTGCAGAAGGGAAGCGCATCAAAATGTTGTCAGCAGAATCTCTTTGGAAATATCAGTCCACAAGGGGTATGGAGTGGAGGTTAATCAGGGAGAAGTGTGTTGTCAGGGTCTGGAGAACCACAGATGGACAAACCTAAGCAAGCAATCATGGAGTCAGCTATAAAATTTGATACCTCTTGTGCTGCCTCCATCACCCACATTTATTGCCAGGCTCCCTAAGATTTTCTCATGATGAAAAAGGCAAGCTTCATGCTCTCAGAAGGCTGGTTCAGGGCTTCTCCTGTTGATTTCCATGTGATAAAATAATCTGAGAAACCTTGTTTTGAAATTAATCATGAATGGAAGATTCCTGTCCAGTGCACTGAGAGAATCTTTAAGACCAACAAGACACTACTTACTTAGGTAATCATTGTGGCTTCTTCAGCTCTGTGCAGCAGCAGTTATTTGGCTCCTAGGCATCTATAAAAGGAAGGAAAGAACTTGTCAAAGAAGGATGTAAAGAATCATATAGGCTGATATATTTGGTATCAGCCAAATAGATCCCAGAAATCCTTACTCCAACTTTTGTCCTTTAATAACTGTTAAACCATTCTTTAGTGAATGTTTTATGTTAGCCATAACAGAGGGTGAAAACAGCAGGTAGGAGGAGTTTAACTTGATTTTCTCTGTCTCCATCCATGTCGCGTCATGGATTTCTGTTCTTTTTCACCCAAGATAGGAATCATGCTTGTCCTTATTTCAGAATTAGGTGCTGTAATCATCCATCACTGTTGACAAACTTGTTCACACCAGGTCCAACTGGATCCAGCCATACCTGGAGGCAGTGTTAAAACAGGCTTTCCAGAACTAAGTGTTGTTTCATCTCAACAGTGCAAATGTGAATGTAACCAGAAAAGTGTTCAACCCAATAAATACTCTACTAGATTCTGTCCAATCTAAACCTTTGGTAAACTTCTCCACTCATCTTCTGCTGGATAATGTTTTCGGCTTGTGTATCTGTGGTGCTCTTTCATTTGTGTGTCTGTAGTGCTCTATTTACTTCCATCTCCACTGCTGTGTTTCTGTACCCTACCTCTACTTTCCTCTGGGACATTCAACAGAAGTAAATATTACAAGGACTGAGATCTACTTTTCAAAAACAGTGCTTTTGTGATGGTGGAATATTCTCCTGTTTTGCATACTGTCAGGAATTTAACCCCTAGCTGCTCTTTAACTCATCCCAGCTCATCAACAAAACGTAAAACATATTACAAGTAACTTACAGGTCCTTAGCATTTCAAGTTTCATGTCAGCTCACTACAAAGAGCATTTGCTGGCTGGATGTCTCACAGCATGGGCCAGGAAGATCTGTAGAAGGTTTACATGCAATATACTCCTAAGTCTATGAGGAACAACTTTTGGAAAACGCCCAACTGCATCAGTATTATACAAGGAAAATGCTGTCAGAGTCTTTGCTCTTCTGTCTTTCATGCACAGCCAGTATGCATGCTTGTCATCAATGAATTCACACATATTATGTATGTTTCTAGTACTACACATAATTAGTAAAACAATAATGCAATTATAAGGTACTGATTTCAGCTCAGAATTGAGACGTTTCTGGAAGCCTTCTGAGCAATCAGATTTCACTGTACTGAAGCTTTAATTCATGACTCCCACACACTAAAAATTAACTGCTGGCAGAAAAGCAGTTCACTGTAGGACAGAACTACTCTGCAATCATGATGTTCAACAGTGACCTTGGAAAGCTCTGTGAACAAAGTTGCTTTTTGTGGGCAATAACTTTGCTCTTGGTTTAGCTGGATGTGGGTACACAAGAAGTAAATGTATCAGAAAGGCCAGGCTGGGGGATGTGTTCAGCACTGACTTCTAGATATGGGACCGTGTATTTTTAAAAGATAAGAGATTTAACTATAGCGCTTTTCCTCTGAGGAAACTTACATTAGCTGTTATGAGAACAGCAACAAAGTCCTTGTTGACTCTAGCTTTTTACACTGCAGCTAAAAAGACACAGATCCCATGAACTGTAAGCCAGAAAAACACATACTTTCATATGCACATGATACTTGGGATATAGGGCATGTAGTAACTTTAAAAAAAAAAAAAAAATACACACAGCCATATTCCTCATAATCTGAATTATACCAAAATTAGCAAATGCAGCTACTCCGACCCTCTCATTAACTACCTCTGGCTTGGTCTGCTGCTTCTGCATGTGACACCAAAGACTGGGAGATGGCAAACTAGGCTGTCTGTGTGGGAGGACAGAGCACTGTTCCACATCACATTTTCCTTACCATTCTCTACATCCAGATTTCTCTCCCTGCTCAACTCCACTCCCTTCCAGACCTTGAACATAATCAACCTTCATCCTCTTCTCCCTATGAGGACCACCTGCCACACCATATCCTCTTTGCTCAGTTGCACATTTGGTTTTAACTGCTGCCACAGAGCAATGCTAGAGAACTCACTGCTGAACTGGTGCACTCTCAAGCTGAACATAGCCAAAAAAAAACATGCTAGAGGATGGAGTATGGAGGGAACACTTTGTAGGACTGGAGAGTGCTGCTAGTGGCTGTGTGTGATGGTGTATGACTTGGTGAAACAGATCTTGTTAGGAAATGAAGGAGAGGAAGCTGCAGGACATGCACTGGGAGTTTAAAAGACTGGCTTTTTGTACTGTTGGGATAACCTAACAGAGTAAAAAGTTTTCTGAGGACCTGGCTTTCAGTGCCAAGCCAATCTAATCTGTAAATATCCTGCTGTCAAAGCTTCACTACCTTAAATCAAGTTATAGCTGCTAGACTGCATGTTCCTCCAATGCAGATTGCAACAGTCATGCACGCTATCATCAAAGCTTTCCAAGTGCTTGATCTTACACTCTCATGCATTAAATCCTAAACTCCATCTCTGTTCTTCCTGGAGGGTTTCTCAGGTAATAGGAGGAGCCACTATATTTAGAGTCCAAGAAGGCTGACAGAACTTCCTCAAGCCCGCAGCTTTCTGTTGTCTCTGTTGCTGATGAGTCCTGCAAAAAGACTCAAGCTGCTTAGGAAGACCTTCTCATGCCAAGGGACAAGCACAAGTGCAGCAGCACCTAGGGAGGAACTGAACTGAGAGCACAGATGAAATACGCCATGCTGTTCATAGCTGCAGAGCAAAGAGAGTCTACTCTGCCAACGCAGAAAGCCATAACACAGTTCAACTTTCTTATCTGCAACAGCTGAGAAGGCACTGTGTCACCTGGCAGGGCTCCTGGCAGAACTGGCAAGCATGGGGACTAAGAAAAGGGGCATGTGGGACGTGTGTCCCAAGGACAGGGCAAAGAAGTTAGGACAAGCCTGGGGATGAGTTAAGTGACCAGGAGATGCCACTGGATACAATTTCCTAGCAGCTAAGAACCTCCATGCTCCAACATTCTGTGCCCAGCAGCCAGGGCCTAGTGGTGTGGAGTTGCTGGGATGAGCACAGTTCCATGGTGAATAGGAGCCAGGGGGGTCTGGTGAGGAGCCTGGGGTCCTTCATTAGCCTGCGTCTCCTTCTAGCATGTTTGCTACCCCCTCTAGAAGCTCCAGCTGTGCTACTTGGAATTAGTGAAGTTTGCACAAGAGTTTTTTCCACTGTGAAACTTTACTGGGAAAACAGAAAACAAGCACATTACTTTCCTCAGCCTCTGGTGTGTAACTTATCATCTCCTCTGGCTTCTGAATGACAGCACCTAGCACAGCTCCTCTCATGCCTGAGTACTCACAGCCTGAGTGGCCCTACATGTTTGGTATTCAGCTGAGATACCTCACTTTTGCACAGGGCAAACAGAAGAGCTGAACTACCACAGCACAGGCTAGATGTGGTTAGCCATCTATGCATGCTTTCTTGACAGAAGCAACCTGAGTCTTACCATACCTCCTTACAAAACCAGTATTTCCTGCACTAACTAGAGGTTTTTGCTTTCAGGTACATGGAAAAGCTGTCATCAAGACTCTTGCCAGCAAACAGCAACAAACATAGATTCTCCGATTCACTTAACAGCCAGCGCTGGAGGTTCTTAAAAAGTGGCCTGGATGATTTCAGAAGCGGCTTCCCTCCTTCATCTGATAACATCATCATCCGAGGCAGAAAGGGGCTTTCCCCCATCATTCTACAGAGCAGATCCCACCTGACTCAACAAAAGGCACGGAAAACATCCGTTAAACCCACGTGCAAGCTCAAGTCAGAGGTGGAAGCCAGGAAGGAGTTCAGGAAGGACATTAATCATCACCTAAGCCACTGCCCTCAGTTACTGCACTCTCATTTGAAAGACCGCGTCTTTCCAAAGGTAAAGTTGCTGCCATTCTCTTGCAGTAAACATCTGTCCAGTACCTGAAACACAAAAACAGTCCAGGATTGTGTTCCCTCTTGCCTTAAAAGTCTCCTCCCTCATTATCTGTTACAAACAGGAAGCCAACAGAGTCCAAATGTATCTCTAATCTTATTATAGGAACAGCCATAAGAAACTGTCAACTGTCTGGGATGCCTTGCTGCTATGCTGATTAGTCACACGGTTCAGTTGCTAAACCACTCCTGTAGGACTCTGGAGAGAAGAGGCAGACTTGGAAACATCTCTGAAGTGTGCTAGGAATAATAAAGAATCTCTGATAAAAATAAAATAAGATAAAATAAGATAATAAAAAGGTGACTACATACTTTTTTTTTCCCCTGTATTATGAAGCATGTACTACCTAAAAAGTTCAGATTAAAGTCTGCAACTCTCAGTCAAAATTCAGGGCTTAAATCCCACTGGAGCAGATGAAAACCCTGGCCTCTGACACAAATTCTCTGATTTCACTCTCTTTGTATACAGAGAATGCCAAAGTGCAGATAAAATCACAAGCCAGTTTATTGTGTAATGCTGCCAGGTGCATCTATTGACTTCAGTATTCACTCGATGTGAACGGAGGGGACAGAGAGACTTCTTATGCGTATATGCCTCATTTTGGATTCAATCTGACTGAGTACAGTTCAAGTAGTCCATACTCAATTCTGAGTGAACTGTAACCTACAGAGTGCACACTTAAAATCAGCAAGCCAGTGGTACATGTTTTCCTGACCTGTGAGTCATGTTCCACAGGAATGCCACTTTGACCTTATAAAGCTTACACTAGGATACCATAGGACAGACTCTGGTGAAGCAGATTTGAAATTAGTTGTAGCTATATTCATGGTTATGGTTTCACCTTATTCTTCTTTTGAAGTCAAAGGTAAAATTTCTATATATTTCTATGGGAGCAAGTGATTCAGTGATTCTTAAAATCCCACTGCAATGCTTTAGGAATCTGTTTCCTTTAATTTCATTAGCCCTACATGCAAGTTGTTAGTGGCTTGAAAAGTATTCACAAACCAATTCTGCAGCTAAAAATTTACACAGCTGCATCAAAACCTGGATACATTCTATCTCCACATACTATCTTCTTGACTAAAGT